CCCCCCAAACAAACAGAGTGAAAAGATACAATGAGACGAAAGAATCTAAAGGTTGACAAATGACAAGTTATTATCAATAGTAATTCGTTTACCATTAACTGACAATGCAGTTTCTAGATATTATGATACTCATCTTGCAACTGTGAACCTCCGCAAACTTTTTCCTCTCTTATGAAAGCACCCGAAGTGAACTTCGAAAAAACTTGACAAATAGGTATGTGTTCTCTAACAACTGAGATAAGGAGTACGCATAATCCAAATCCCCTAACTAATATACATAAGCATCTGTCAGATATACTATAGGAGGCACTAAGGAATCTTTAACTATACCACCAAATTCTTGAGTTTCAACCAGAATGCACTAAATTTTATTTTATTATGAAATGGTAGTTTCCCTCAAAAGATTTCTGCTTTTTTTTTTTGGGGGAGGGGGGTGGGGGGGGGGTTTGATTGAGGATGTGAAAAGGCATGAAATCGTACCTCCAACAGCTTCTCTTCCTGTAAAAGCTGCTCATACCTAGTTTACAAGAGAGGAAAATATTTGCAAGGATGAATAATGTGTTCCATGTATTGAAGTAGAGAATTCTGATGAATGCAAGAAAATAAATTGGCTAGAAGAATAGGATAGACAGTCTAAAATTGTAAAAACAAGATGAATTCTTTAAGTAATGTGTTGTCAAGAGATGCCATCTCAAGCAACTAAAACGCTTCGGATTCTGATTGATTGAGAACGAGGATAGAGTCATATTGACCAGTATATACTCCTTTACTCTTTTTCATATGATTATTTTTTATCAAGAAAGGGAAAAATAAGTGAAAAACGAACATAGGCCTATAGTGATCATGACCGCGAGATCTAAATTAAAAAGAAATTAGTAACTAATAAACGCATAAACCAAGTCGCGAACAAAATACATATACAGCAATTCCTAGGGGAAAGTTCAAGAGATAATACAACAACTACAACTATTACGCCTCAATCCTAAGCAAGCTCACGAGATAATGAAAGTTGAAGATACTTCTCGGTAGAAAACTCATGATTACCACTATGCATTCTCCTTGAAACTATAAACTCAAAAATTACATCTAATGAATTGTTCTAAAACTTCTATAGCCAATGTCCAAGCCAAAATGTATTTTGTTAAAAGGAGAGAAGGAAAATCCACTACACAATTCTCCTATTCATTCAGGATAAAACCCAAAGTAAAGTAATCACAATTATGGTATCATGCCCATTAAGGATAGATGAGACTTCGAAATGACATTGCTTAGTAACTTTGAAAAATTTCAACGCTCAGATAAAATTATACATACATGACACAACTAAAATGACACTGCTTAGTAACTTTGCAAATTAGAGAACACATTAAACTGATGAATAAACAACAAATTTAACAAAGAAAATAGATACTTAGTACAGCTTCCGTCTACTAACATATAGAAGTGTATAATTCCATAATCTCTTGAGACGTTCAATTTTCACACTTACACAAAATTATTCACACAACTAAAGCAATCATGTAGCTAAAATGAAATTGCTTAGTGACTTTGAAAAGTAGGGGGAAATTTACACAATAATCAGATGTAGAAAACAACAAATTTAAATACAAGCTTGATACTTGGTACAGCTTCCGATCCAAAAATAAATTGAGCTTTAAATTACATTTTTATCTCAATTATGCACGCATAGATGAAATTATATACACAAAACCAAAGCAAATCTGTAGAATGTAGGAAGATAAACTGATAGCCTAAAAAAAAGGAGTGACTTACTGTGTAACTTCGGATGGGGAAAGGACATTAGAAGGGCGAAGGTTAGAGCAGAGCCAATCGAGGACTGGTCGAGCGTCGTCGTATTGGAAAGGCCACTCGAAACTATCAGGATCAAGTGATTCGTGACCTTCGTAACCCAATTCCCCAAGCAATGCGCATAATCGCGCACCGCTCATGCTTCACTGTTGTGCTGTAGATGTTTAGATCGGAGTGTCAATTGGTTAAAAACGCCGCCGGAAGAGACGCCGTTTGGCGCCGGCACTGACCTAATTTGAGAGATTTTTGGCTGACGAGAGAAATTTGAAATGTTACTCGCACGACTACCTGTTAACTGAATTAGAGATGGTGTTTCAAATTTAATTTTCTTTTTCCCTCTTCTTCTTCCTCTCTTTTTGTAGAAAAAAAAAAGAAAGAAAGAAAATATGACAATTAATCTGCGAAAACAAAAATCACTAGCCTTAATTTTCTTTTGTTGGAGTTTGGGAGTGGATTCCACAATATTTTATAATTAGTTGTTATTATATCAATTGGTACTTATCTAAGTGACCTTATAATAAAAAAAAAAGTCATAAAAAAGGACTTTACCACATGTATTTATTTTTCTATTTTTTCTTTTTTTCCCCTCTGACGTCTTCTACTGCATTTTTTACAAACATTTAAATGTTTAATGAAGAAGTATTTTTTTTAAACTGTATATCTCACACTTTTTATGTATAATTGGAAACGTGATTTAAGGAAGCTAATTACCAAGTTGTAAACATTTTGTCAAGTTCCTGGCCAGGGAAAAAAGTGCAGAGTTAAAAGTGTAGTGCATATTACGAGTATCTGAGTAAATTAGTTGGCTGGATAAGAGAAAAAAAGCTTAGAATATTTGCAGAATTTGGTCAACTAAAATTAGAGAAAGAAAGAGAGGGATTTGCAAGATTGTAAATGATCTTATTAAAACTTCCGTCCAGAAAAAAAGTTTAAAAATGATTATTGAAAACAAAAGTTGTGTGAGCATTTGGACTGGAGTTACTGAGAATGTTGACTCAGCTTTAAATGAATGTATAGTCCAAGGATTACTTGGCACAAAAGTATTTCTCCTTACTTGGGCTTACAAATCGATTCATTCCAAGTGGCAATTAAGATCTGAAATAGAGTCGGAAAAGACACTACACAAGTAAAGTAGCATCGAATTTTTTTGAAAATACTACTACCACGCAATGTTTAGCCGTTAAACGGAACACAGCTCTTTACTTGACCAGATCATCAACTGTATAAAAGAGCATATTTTCTGTGTCTAAGAACATGAAACCATTCAAATGCACCAAGGATATCATTTAAAGTATAGTATACTATATATACATATTGGAATGCTTGAATACTTCACCACCGTAAACAATTGCACTTTGAGATTCCAGATACAACACAAGTTTATTAGTGTTCAAAAGATACAACAACAACAACAACAACGAGTAAAATCCCACTAGTGGGGTCTGGGAAGGGTAGTGTGTACGCAGACCTTACCCCTACCCGAGGGAGTAGAGAGACTGTTTCCAAAAGACCCTCGGCTCAAGAAGACGAAAAGAGACAATATATCAGTACCATCAACAGAAAAAAGAATAATAACAGCATCATAAAAGCCATAACATGGATGAAAACGATAGCAATAACCAATAAATAGACTCAGCGCTATAAAACGAAAGAGTAGTGGGATTAATGTTCAAAAGATAAAATGAAGAAATTATGCAAGGGCCAACTATATCTGATATTTTAGAAGGATATTCATTGTTTTCCAAATTCTTTGGTTTGCATTGCTGATCCTTCCAATACTCATAACTGAAGCACAATTGCATATTGCCACAAGAGTTTAGTTTTCATACAATTAACTTTCTATAGCAAAGAGTTTTTATTCGATTAGGACACCTAAAGGCCATCTACAATTAACTTTCTATAGCAAGCTGGTAAGTTGCCTTTTATAGCTGGTAAACTACACTTGTAAAATAAAATCTTTTACAGCATCAACATATATAAGCAAAAACCATGCAACTAGTATACAACATCAACAAGGCAATAACCACTTACATTTTGAGAACATCAACACATGTGAGAATCCAGAAAAAAAATACAAATGGCGCCAAGTGAAAATGTTGTATTCAAGGAAGCACCGTAGGGAACACGAATACAAAGCACCATAGGAAACACGAATACAAAGCACCGTAGGGAACACTTATTGCAGTTCTAAAAAATCATACTATGCAATAAGAATGTGTGTCACCTTGCAGGATAAATGAATGGTAACTATAGGGCATTAACACATAATTGCGGACTTGAAAGTGGAGTGCATCAAGCAGCAACAAAGAAACAAAGTCACTCTCACACAATTAACAATGCCTCAGGGTAAGCATGCGATGATTAGTATGATACTGTTTGTGTCTGCCTCCCACATCAAGGCAGCCCAATGTCAGTGAACAAGAAGTGCTAAGGCCTCGCAAATAAGAACACCATAATGACCCCTGATCAACAACACTAAGACAACTGATTTATAAAAAAAAATATGAAGGGCCATAGAATAAGAGCAACTACTCTCTTGTATATTGTATATTACTCGATCTTGCAAATGGAAAATCTATTCAAACGTATAGAGCAAACTGAGGTTAAAAGGAAAACTGAAGCGCATAAAAAAGAAGCTATAATAGGGTTATCTATGCTGGTGCAAGAGTTTATCAAATGTAAGCACAAAATGCATCTATACACTAGCATGGTTTTCAAGTTCATTTCTATTTGACGCACCGACTCTGATCAATCAACATCACTTGAAATGAGATCATAGGTGCTTTCTTTGATCAACACTCATAATCACGAGGATTTTGCTAATATTCAAAGAAACCCGCTCCCTTTACTCGTCCTCCTTAGCTTAGCCGATTTGACATCCCCACAAAGGATAACATTACTAGCATTAGCCTGGGAACTTTAGCCCCCAAATAATACATAAATTTAGACGGCAAGAACATGATCACTTGTCTTACTAGGACAATGTAGTATATATAAAAAAGTTTCAGAGGCAAACATCCACTTTATTCTCAACCCATTAACTAGCTATTCATTCAAAGCATAGATCCAGATAAATAACATTTGAGTTGTACCAAAATTTCTATAATGATACATTACCACTACAATACCAATGAACCCTCAAAATCTAATACACATGTACTAAAAGATCAAATATCTCAAAGATAATAATTGCAATCCGCTATTACCAATTTGCCTCAGTATGCTCCTCTGCTGCTATTAAGAATCGAACCAAGTGTACCCAAAACTGCAAAAGCCAAAAGTGGACTCACATCCAAAGTATCAAAAATTGGGGGAATTATATTCCTGAAAAGATTCAAATAAGGATCACAAAGGTCCCTAATAGCTGATAATGGCTGTCTGTCCCAAGGTATATTAGGAAACCAACTAAGCAAAACCCTAACCATCAAAACCCCACTGTATATATCAAGCCATTTCGCCATTCCAGCTGCAACCACGGTGAAAGGGGTATTCAAAGCTCCTGTTGTGGGCTGATTCTTAAGGGCCGCAAAAAACATAGGCCCAGCAGAGTAAACCAGTGATTGGCCCAATCCATTGGAGATTTTCTGCAATACTAGCTTTGAGATTGCTAAAGTGACTGCTGCTAAGGTGGTAATTGTGCGCGTTGAGCGAGTGATTAAGGGGGTAACTGTACTTGATTTTGTGGATACAGTTGTGGATGATGCGGAAATTGTGAATTTTTTGAGTGAATTTGGCCGTGAGAATAGGGAAATAGTTCTGGGTTTTGAGTAGATAAGGGCTGAAAGAGGAGAGAGGATAGTGATGCTGTTGTGAAGGGGAGAAGTGAGATTTGGGTTTCGGAGAATTAGGGTTTGAGAAGCCATTGGAGAGTTTCTCAAAGCTGGGATTTTGAGGTATAGAATGCTTTTCCTGAAAAACCCGCTAAGATTTGGTAGGGCAAGAGCTCGTTGTTTAATACATACAAACATATTATACAATCACATCATATATAAAATAATTATATATAAATTATAACAAAAAATTACTCATAATCTAATAATTAACTAAAAGTGATAACTAATACTAGTATATTACTATTACTTTGGAGGATGACTAAATGGCATTGTAATGCAATAGAAATTTTTTGAGTTCACATGCACAAAACTGTCGCTAGCAAGAATAAGATTCGGGTGATTCCTTACGAGCGTGTTTGGAAAGCCACCTAGGAGTTGGATTTGAGTGTGATTGGATTCAATTACACAGTTTGACATGTTTGTTTGGCCAAGTAATTACTTGGTCAGCATGAAATTGGATGTAATTGGACGGGTATAATTACACTCTCCAATTCTCAAGGGATGTGAGAATTGGTGGTAATTACACTATGTAATTACAAGGTTGTCTTTTAGTTTCTTTCCTTTGTTTTATTTTAATTTATTTTCCTTATAATATTATTTTTACTTTTTAATTTCTTATGAAATTTTTAAAATGTATTTTTCTTTGTACATTATCGTTTATTACTCTACTTCTACTTCTTGTGATTCCATGTAATTGCTTATATTTTATTTTTTATTTATTTTATTACTCTATTTTTTGAAACTACACCTCCTAATATAGAAATAATGAGTCACTAACAAACTTGGCATATAATGAGTGGTGCAATTAAAGTGAAATTTCCTTGTTGAATGTGATTATAAACTTATTATGTTTCCTAATCTTAAGTTGTAGTGGAACTTAATATTATTATGTTGGAATTTGACATATATTAAACTATTTTTTTTTTAGATTTTGAAATTGTGTTATATTCATGGTTTCAATTTACTTATTGTAGTAGAATTGGCTCACATTGCATGTTCATTTTTTAGTTAGAATTGATAGTAATTTATTTTATCAAACATGAATTCTATGATGTTCTTACAAAACATATATTTTTAGTTTTGTAAAATATTTAAACTAAATATTATTAATTTGGAATATATATAAAATTATTATTTTTACAATATTAGTTATAAATATATAATTATTAATTAATGTATATTCGCAAAAAATATACATCTTAAATACCAAATATAATATCATTTATACTTATAAAAATTTATAGGCATATATTTATTATATTAACTTTTAAGTTTTGATAATTACTTCATTTAAAATTTAATCTAACAGCGTAATTACACTTGTGCAACCAAACAGTAAACTTGTAATTATACTGTAATTACACTATGACAAACAAACAGGTCATCGTAATTATATAACTATGTAATTACTAGGCTATGTAATTACTACCTAGTAATTACACCAATTCCAATTACTTGGTGGCTTTCCAAACATACCCTACATGTATACTCAGATGATCACGGGATCTAAGCGTCAGGGACGACTCAAGGGAGGCTAGTAAAGAGTCCCGAACCAAAATGTTGTCTTTTTGGACTCAAAATACTTAATTAGGTGGGAAAAACTTAGTTACCAAAATATGTAAAACGCAGTAATGAACCACGTTTTACCTTAACCTCCGTTTGGGACGTTAAGGTAAAACGTGGTTTAATACTGCGTTTTATGTAAAATGCTTTTTGATACCGCATTTTACCTTAGTTGTTTTGAATGGGTTCCGTGTTGTTTTGTATTTTTTTTTTCCGATTAAATTGGTATGTTATTTTTATCCGGACTAAGATATTAATGTTCTAAAAAAATATGTAAAAATTGTGAAATCGTTATTATTTGTTAATAAAAATGTTAATAAATTATTATTACTGTTTTATATGTATATTTGTGAATGTTTTGTGATTAAAATGTATTTGTTGTGTTTTATCTGGTTTATATTATTTATTTGCTTAAAGACTAGTAATATAGTGCCCTTTTAGGGTAGTAAAATGTAATGTCTTTTAGCGTAGTAAAATGTAGTGCATTTTAGCATAGTATAATATAGTGCCTTTTAGCGTAGTATAATGTAGTGCCTTTTAGCGTAGTTTCCCTGTAGTTTAAGTATCTCTTATACTAAAAAATACGTCAAAATAACTGATAGATCAAACACAAACTCTGTCCAAATTATAGTCAACATATAATTGGTGCTACTGGGCCGCAAATATCGAGCCTGGAACACATATATGGATATTTAATAATTAAATATTGTATAATTATAAAAATTAATTATTTAATTTACAACAAACATATAAAATTATAAAACTAACATGTAAAATAATAAAACTAACACGTAGAAGAATTCAGGATAAATTGGTGCTACTGAGCCGCAAATATCGAGCCTGGAACCCATATGTGAATATTTAATTATAAAAATTAATTATTTAATTTACAAACTAACATATAAAATTATAATAAAACTAACACATAGAAGAATTTAGGATATCTTGGTGCTACTGGGCCGCAAATATCGAGCATGGAACCCATATGTGAATATTTATTTACAAAATTTTATTATTTAATTTACAAACTAACATATAAAATTATAATAAAACTAACACAGAGAAGAATTTAGGATATCTTGGTGCTACTAGGCCGCAAATATCGAGCCTGGAACCCATATGTGAATATTTATTTATAAAACTTTATTATTTAATTTACAAACTAACATATAAAATTATAATAAAACTAACACATAGAAGAATTTAGGATATCTTGGTGCTACTAGGCAGCAAATATCGAGCCTGGAACCCATATGTGAATAATTAATTATAAAAATTAATTATTTAATTTTCAAACAAACACATCAAATTATAAAACTAAAATGTAATTAATGTTGTTTAATTTACAGTAGACGACATGGAGGTGCCGCCTATTCATCCCGGACCTTCCAACGATGAGCTACTGTTGTTACCGGGTGATAATAGGTCCGCCCACATATGGGAGGGAGAGTTACTGACCCAAACTCTTCGCGTCAGGAGAGTGGACGACATGTGGGACTTTCTGCATGACAGAGTTCTCCATCCCCGTGTAGTCACACGCCTGAGGGAGACGGGTTTCTACAGGATTTTGGAGATTGGGCGGCTGCAGCTCGATTGGTCTTTGGTCACGGCCCTGATAGAGCGGTGGCGACCGGAGACGCACACATTCCACCTGCCCATTGGCGAGGCCACCATCATACTGCAGGACGTGGAGGTTTTATATGGGCTGCCTGTTGATGGACACCCCATTGCCCTGTCGCCTGGCATGAGAGAGATGACACGTGTGCAGTACCTGGACATGCTGCAGCTGCTCACTGCATTTCTGCCAGAGGATGAGAATGTACTGGCTGGGACCAGTCATTTTCCGTTGACGACTATTCGGCAGTGGTTGGAGGCATTGCATCCTGACATCGATGGCGATATACCGGATTATCATGTTGACCAGTATGCGAGGTTGTTGCTACTCCTTATGTTTGGAGGGGTCTTGTTCCCAAACACTTCGGGGAACCTAGTCAGCTTGAGATTTCTTCATCATCTTGAGCTGCTAGATGATTTACCCCAGCACAGCTGGAGTGCTGCTGTTCTCGGCTACTTCTACAGGCAGATGTGCCGGGCGAGCATGGGCACCCAGCGCTACATTGCTGGATTTTTGCTGCTACTACAGGTGACAACATATTCGAATACTCTATTCATTTTAACATACCTAGTAAAAATATATCTTAAATTTTACGTCAACTTTTTATGTTAGGTTTGGGCCTGGGAGCGATTCCTCCAGTTGCAGCCACCTCTACCACTATTAGATCCGGATGTACCACCTCCGTTGCTCCCTCTAGCTAGGAGGTGGGTTCTCCGGCGAGGACATACGCACGAGTACGAGGCTCGGCATAATCTCTCCTTGTGCAGGGATATCTTGAATTTGCTGGAAGGCGCACAGGTAAATGTATATCTAAGTTTACTTGTCATAGCTTCAAACACAAGTTGCGTATACTGATGTTTTCTGTTCTTACTTAATAGTTCATTTGGATGCCATACAACGACGTGTTGATAGCTAGCTTTCCCTGTTATTTCTCGGCCGGCCGACTTATGTGGGGCTCTTTCGTCCCGTTGATCTGCCTTGATATTGTGGAGCATCTTGCCACCGAGCGGGTACTTCGCCAGTTTGGTAGGCCGCAGCTGGTACCGACACCGCCCACCTAGCAGACCACACATTACCAGCGGGATAATCGTACCAGGGTGGACGACACATATTTGGCATGGCTAGAGGAGCGGATCGATATTTGGGACCGGCGATCTGACCTGATTCCGTCCCCTTCACCGAGTCGGCTAGATACTGAGCATGATTATGTGGGCTGGTACCGCGGCGTTACCCGACTTATCGTTGGTAATCCCATTCATCAAGCTGGCGGTCGGTACGTTCCATAAGTCGGGAGGCACGAGGCATGTCGCGCCCCCTTTTTTCCTCCTTGCAGAGAAAGTCCGGGTTTCGACATTCATGGGGGATCAACTCGTTTCCTTCTGGGAATTGGGTGTTTTGAAGAGTCGCCACCTAACGAATTATGGTGCGTTAGGGTACCTAAAGTAATTAACTCATGTAACTAGTTGCATTACTAAAGATTAGGGTAAGGGCTCGAAATAACCTTGAGGGGAAGGTGTCAGGCACCCCTCGCGGTCACAACAGTGGGTCCCGGCCGAACTTACACTATACGAACCAATCAAATAACAAGTAAGCAAGTATTTGCGAATAATATAGCTTTCCTCGTTTAAATGCATATATGATCAAAGAAGTTCAAATAATAAAGGGTAAAGAGATTTGGACAACTTGTGCATGTATAAGTAAAGAAAGGAAATTTAGAGAATTTAAACATATACGAGAATTGGGAAAGGTAAGTCCTAAGTTGATTAGCCTACAGGATCATACCCATGCAATGCCCGGTAATCACTCCTCAATGAGGGGCTACACGTGACATTAGCGCGCAGTCATCATATCCTTTACTATCCATTACCCCCCTAGTGGTTATGAGCGAGTTTAATTAGCAATCTCTAAGCGTGCTTCTACCCGTCCCTTCCTGATTGTCCCGGAGGAA